ATTGCGTACAGCTTGTCAATGTATACTCGATCGTGCGTGAGTACAAAAGAAAACGCGCACAGTGCTTACCGCGGGCCTGTCGACCGAACGGAACGACATGTCAAGGCTGGTGAACAGCATCACCAAGGCCTCGCGCAGCTGCCGCTCTCCAACCCGAGTCGTGACATACTGATCGATGGTACCCTGCCTACCCCCCCCAACGACGGCTCCTCCGGTCAACCCACTCGGCCCGGCCCCCGTCTCGGCTGCCGGAACGTCAGGCCATGTGGCAGCGTGCTCCCACGGCCACTTAGTCTTATCCGGTACTGTAGGTTCCCAACCACCATCCGGGAAAACAAGCCCATCAGACTTGTTTTGGTCCAGAAAGCGACCGACCCAGATCTGGAGGCTAGGATAGTGCGCCCTCTTCAAATGCCTGGCCCCCGGGCTCGTGTTGCCTAAACGCCAACTAATCAACGTGTTGCACGTAAGGCATCGCCATGCATCGTTGTTCAGCGCCCCAAACATGCCTTTCACCAAGCCCGACTCTCTCCTACTTAGAGCGCTCTCCACGATAGGGTCCAGGTCCTTTTCGGTCGGCAGTTGGTTGGCCTCCCGCATTGCATTGATAGAAGCCCAGGAAATACCAACGCGGCGTGGTCCAGCAGTGGGTGCGGCAGCAGCAGCAGCAGCAGCAGTAGCGCGAGGGCGTCCGGAAGCGCGAGGACGTGCAGCAGCAGCAGCAGCAGTAGTAGCGGGCGGACGCCCAGCAGCAGCAGGAGCCGCAGCAGCTGCGGTAGCAGCAACAGTAGTGGCAGCAGCAGGCGCACCAGCGGCTAGAGCAGACACGGCAGTAGGTACAGCACCTTCACCCACACGTGCTCTCTTCTGTCCCACACGCCCCCCCCCCACCCTCGCCACCGCTATCACCGTCACTCGCAGCGCCAGCATCCGCATTACCCGGCACCCAAGTCGGGTCGCGACGTTCCTCAGGCGACTGCTGCTCAATAGCACGCAGGTCGTCCATTGCCTTCTGCCATCGCTGCTCCTCCGAAGCCCGCCGCGCCGCAATGCCCTCTTCATGGGTCACAGGGTCAGCACAAGGGGAGAGCTGGCCCAATTGGAAACCCTCCCCGCCAAAGGATGTGACTCCGATGGCCGCGAGAGAAAACCCTTGAATCCGCGTGGAGCTCGACGGATCGCCGTCCGTGCCAGACATGGTTCGCGCCTACAATCGCTCCTTCACGGAATGAACCGAGACGTGTGCTCGCGGATTCCCCGTCACGGTGCAAGCGGGTGACGCTAAACCTACACGAAATTGTGCAGCAGGTGCCGGTAAATGCGTCTACTAAAGAGGCAATGCCACGGTAGAAGTGTGCTCGATGGAAAGTAGAGGATGCCCTTGAATCTGGAAACCCTAAGAACTACTAATCTGACCAGCGCGAAATGTACTAAGCGCAGCCAAAATCGTGTATATAAGAATGTAAATAACGGTGTGTGAAATCGCCGGGTGATGCCTAAGGTAGGTGGTAGTTTAGTGAGGGGTAATTACGAAGACTCTAAGGCTAGGGGCTGCTGCTGGCGTGGCGAGGGTGGCAAATGTTAATCGGAGGGGAAGAAATCCCCTCGATCGATTTACATTCGGGCTAGGGTTTCGGCCCTAGCCCTGTCGAAATCGGGTCGCGCGCCTGGCCCGACCCGATTACGACATTTCCAGCCCGAAATCGGGTCGGGTCAGGCCCGACCCGAAACCCGGCTCGGCCCGACCCGAAATGGGCCCCCGGGTCGGGTCTTACCCCGGGTCGGGTCGGGTCGGCCCAACCGGGGCAGGGATCCAGAAACTTTGGCCCGACCCGGGCAAAACCACGGGTCAGGTCGGGTCGGCCCGAACCGAGCGGGGCTCATGCTCAACTCTATGTTGAGCGTCCAATCTGGGCTCGCCAACAGGTCGCTTGTCGCCTTGTCCACCAGCTGCACCGCCGTCGATTGCGACGACGAAAACGTGATGGCTCTCGCTCGCTTGATCGCTCGCTCGCTCGCTTGATCGGTCGCTCTCGCTCGTTAGATCGCACGCTCGTTGTTTGCTTCCTCGATCGCGTGTGTTCGCTTGCTTCCTTGCCGCTGCAAAGAAGGGAGACAAACGTTTGAAACGCAGGGACGGAAGGGCTGGAAGACGCCAAAAGCGGTCGCTTTGACCAGCGGCGGTACGGGCGCCCACTGCGACGAGGAAGGCACGGTGATAGCTCCGTAGCTCGCTGCCATGCCACCGCGACTGCCAGGTATTCGCTCAGTGGGAAGTGCATGTTTCTAGTTTTTGTAATAGGCGGGAAAAGCGGAACGATGTGGAAGGGAAGGAACCGCAGAACGATGTGTAAGATCGTCCAAAACGGAACGCATTAAACAGAGGTTCCGTTCAGTGGGGTGACGGAATACGAGCGCCTTGAAGTGGTGGAAAAATAAAAGCAGTGATAACCAAATCGGCTTCCATGCTTACAGTAGCGTTCAGGCGAGAACGACCAGAAAGCAGAGCGAAATTATGTCATTCTCGTGAAGTAGCGCCACATGCCAGCGGCGAGCAATGACCGCTGTAGAAATAGGAACGTGAACGCCACTAACAGACCTAGACACCTACTGTGGATAGATGACTGGGAAAAAGCAGAGAGCAACTGTTTGCCTATGAGAGCGCGCAAGGCAATTTACATGGCAAATTTGCAGTGAGGCTCGATATAAGGTGAGCGCTTGTCAGGCCCTAGTTCGTTTCCAGTTCAAGAATCATTGTATAGACTGGTGGGTGGCGGTTCAACGCGGTGGAGCAGGCAAACCGCTCGAGAGCGCACAACACCTTTTCCCACCTTTTTCCTGCCGCTGGTGAGGGCGCGTCCCCTACCTCGAACGATCGCGAGATCGATGTGAAAAACCGAAAGGGCACACCGATCGCAGGACTGGGGAGGGATTGGTAGGATGTGACAATCGCGGATCGATCTCGAGCCCAGGGTGACAGGATCGAGAATTCAAGGGGGAAAAAACTTTTGATCCTACAAAAGCCGAGATCGGTGTGGCCACGAAGGCACATCGATCGTCGTTAGCGGAGGTGACAAGATCGTTGGGCCCGAGTTCCTTTAAGTTCGCTAGCCATCTCGAAATTTGGTTACCTAGTGAATTGCGACACTGTATCTGTCCCTCGGTCGATCGAGGGCAGGATCGATTGAGGGAGGGGACGCGCCCTAAAATATTAGCGAGGCAGGACAGCACAGAAAGGTGGAGCTTGTAATGAGGGGCTGCCCATAGCGACAGATTCGGCTGGTGTCGTCCCTGGCCAGGGGGGAGAGGAAGGCGGAGGTTGGGCGCGGCGGATGAGCACAGAAGTTGCTGCGCGGAACCACGGACTATTTTGTGGGCTTGGTCAAAGCAGCGGTTGTCGTACCGCGCGCGCTCCATTCGCGCTGGCAGGAGGGGTAAGAACACCCTGACGAGATTTGAATTCCTTTTACAAAGAAAATCTACATCCTGGAAAAAGAACTCTGGCTCATCAGTGTTGCTAAAATAGAAATCCTGATATTTCAAGGTAAACCAATCTCTAAAAAAAACCCAGAGACATAAGTTTGGTTAAAAAAAAAAATACTGTTCTTTTCAATGTAGCAAAGAAAATAACATCGATAGAAATAGGCCTTCTTGGGAAATACGTGATCAAGCGTTTATTTGGGTGATCCTGGCTATAATTGCGGCAATTTCAGGGTGAATTTGAACCTGGAAGCTTAAAAAACGATCAGCCATAAGCTTTTGGTAATGGAAGCGGCAATCTTTATCTATGAGAGGGCTGAAAAAAGGCATCGTTTAAGTGAAATCAGTGGTCGTATAACGGCGAGTACTGAATCGAACATCCAAAATTCTCCTGGCTTCTCCTAGCTTCTCCTGGTGCGGCATCTGCGCGTTGACCAAGCTGACTGCATTGCATTGCACGCAAATCCCGCCAGGGCAGACGTGACTACGTGGAATGGCGCCACGACAATTCCACTGCATCACCTGAATCTCTCTTTTATGGGGGGTAACTGATTCCGTGCTCTGCGGCGACGATTTGGGGCATCGACTGTCTGGGCAAAACGAAATTAAAAAATGATGCTCCGAGAGGTATGGCCATAACTTAAAAAACTAATGTTTATTGTCCGTCGAAAATAAATCCCCCAAACCTCGTCACTGTTTCTCACGGGCACTAGAAAAACAATTCTGGTGGAGGCTTGTGGTTTTGCCTTCATTGCGGTGGACATTTTTTTTCTACTGTACCTTCGAAGCGTCACACGAGCAAGGATCCAGCCGTGGTGGCGTCCTTCCTTTCCCGCCAGGTAACCCGTCGAATCCGTCTATCTGAAGTCAGCAGCATCTACTGGTACCTGACCGTCGCCTCGGCAGCAATCTGACTGCAGGAAGCGTATTATCCAGGTTTCCCGCAGCGCGAATGTGTTGAAGGTGTAATTCCGAGGAACCATGATTTCACCGAGGTGTAACATTTCTCAACCGATTGGTCATTTCACCGAACCGTTCTGAAACAGTCTGTAACCTTCTCGAGAAGTGACCACCATTCCACGCACCATCACAAAAAACGGGGCCTGAAAACAGGTGGTTTAGGCTCGGTTTTCTGTCCAACCAATGGAAATCCGCTGGCAAACTTTCAACTTGTTCGGACGGATTTCCAACGAGTGGCGCACTGGTTTTGTCACTATATTTTCCATCGGTTTTCCATCTCAGAGAGGAACGATGATTTCCGATGGAAAACCAATACGATTTCCGGCGGATTTCCATTATCATCGCGCATGGGTTGCAATCTTTCATTGCCAATATTTCTGATACAGCGAGAACAGTGAAAACGGTACAGTTAATTCAGTGTTGTTAATGTTCATTTTCCGTATATATAATTGTTATTCAAAATTACAAATATAATCTGTTATTAAATTGGTATTTTAATTGTGCCCACACATAAAATTTACTGAGTCAATAGAAGCAACAAATTCATGAAACATGCTAGGCTACTGCAGAACAATAGTCGTCTTCTTGAATCCAGCTGCGTAGTCACTAGCATCGATAAGGATGCCATTGCCGAACACAAACACGTCCCTGCTGTCATCATAGCTCACGCCAAGGTTGGTGACCGCATGCTCCACCCATTTCCGGCACCACTTGACTTTGTCCTCATACAACGGCCTGTTGTAGTCGGGTTTGCTGCTCAAATTCCCATCGGCGGTCTTTGTCAAGATCGGGTATTCCAGCTGCAAGGCACAATAATGGCAATGAGTTTCTGGACTGGATGCAAATACAGAAACAAATTCAGAATCAAGGTGCTTGTACTTACAGCAAACAATGCAAAGGCAATCTGGCGGGTCTTCCATACCCCCAGTGACATGCCTGATCTCACGAATGCAGCGAAAATTCCCGCACTGAAAGTTTCACTCGAAAAAGGCCACTTCGTTTCGTCGTCTACGTGCCAGTCCGGTCCCCATTCTTCTGTAAATTGGTAAAAGGGTGTTCAGGAAATGTAGGGAGTGGAGCAAGACACAATAAGTGCTCCGGGAGGCAGGGCATAGGGGGCTTTCTTGACGGTGAAGGGAGCATGGGGCTGGAAATAAGGGGCAGGCGGAGAGGGTGAGAGCTTGTGTGCTCCCTCCAAGCGAGTATGGGCATGATAACGGGCATGGCAGACGCGCATGTGTTGTGTACCCATAGCGAGCTAGCGTGGGCATGCTCGTGCGGCATGGCATTGGTGCCTGGACTGACGGGAAAGGGAGCAAGGGGCTGGAATCAAGGGGATTGGGGCGAGCGGAGGGAGTGAGAGCATGTGTTGTGTGCTCCCACCGAGCTAGTGTGGGCATGTTCATGCGGCATGGTATGGGTGCCTGCACTGCCGGGAAAGGGAGCAAGGGGCTGGAATCAAGGGGATTGGGGCGAGCGGAGGGAGTGAGAGCATGTGTTGTGTGCTCCCACCGAGCTAGTGTGGGCATGTTAATGCGGCATGGCATGGGTGCCTGCACTGACGGGAAATGGAGCAAGGGGCTGGAATCAAGGGGATTGGGGCGAGCGGAGGGAGTGAGAGCATGTGTTGTGTGCTCCCACCGAGCTAGTGTGGGCATGTTAATGCGGCATGGCATGGGTGCCTGCACTGACGGGAAATGGAGCAAGGGGCTGGAATCAAGGGGATTGGGCCGAGCGGAGGGAGTGAGAGCATGTGTTGTGTGCTCCCACCGAGCTAGTGTGGGCATGTTCATGCGGCATGGCATGGGTGCCTGCACTGACGGGAAATGGAGCAAGGGGCTGGAATCAAGGGGATTGGGGCGAGCGGAGGGAGTGAGAGCATGTGTTGTGTGCTCCCACCGAGCTAGTGTGGGCATGTTCATGCGGCATGGCATGGGTGCCTGCACTGACGGGAAAGGGAGCAAGGGGCTGCCTGGATGCTCATGCGGCTTAAGGCAGGGGCGAGACGGAGATGGGGGGAGAGGAGCAGGTTAGGCGCTGCAGTGCCTTGCAGTGGCTCTGCCAGGCACAGAGAAAGGCAGGGGCGAGACGGAGATGGGGGGAGAGGAGCAGGTTAGGCGCTACAGTGCCTTGCAGTGGCTCTGCCAGGCACAGAGAAAGGCAGGGGCGAGACGGAGATGGGGGGAGAGGAGCAGGTTAGGCGCTGCATCAGCCATGCAGTGGCTCTGCCAGGCACAGAGAAAGGCAGGGGCGAGACGGAGATGGGGGGAGAGGAGCAGGTTAGGCGCTGCAGTGCCTTGCAGTGGCTCTGCCAGGCACAGAGAAAGGCAGGGGCGAGACGGAGATGGAGGGAGAGGAGCAGGTTAGGCGCTGCAGTGCCTTGCAGTGGCTCTGCCAGGCACAGAGAAAGGCAGGGGCGAGAAGGAGATGGGGGGAGAGGAGCAGGTTAGGCGCTGCAGTGCCTTGCAGTGGCTCTGCCAGGCACAGAGAAAGGCAGGGGCGAGACGGAGATGGGGGGAGAGGAGCAGGTTAGGCGCTGCAGTGCCTTGCAGTGGCTCTGCCAGGCACAGAGAAAGGCAGGGGCGAGACGGAGATGGGGGGAGAGGAGCAGGTTAGGCGCTGCAGTGCCTTGAAGTGGCTCTGCCAGGCACAGAGAAAGGCAGGGGCGAGACGGAGATGGGGGGAGAGGAGCAGGTTAGGCGCTGCAGTGCCTTGCAGTGGCTCTGCCAGGCACAGAGAAAGGCAGGGGCGAGACGGAGATGGGGGGAGAGGAGCAGGTTAGGCGCTGCAGTGCCTTGCAGTGGCTCTGCCAGGCACAGAGAAAGGCAGGGGCGAGAAGGAGATGGGGGGAGAGGAGCAGGTTAGGCGCTGCAGTGCCTTGCAGTGGCTCTGCCAGGCACAGAGAAAGGCAGGGGCGAGACGGAGATGGGGGGAGAGGAGCAGGTTAGGCGCTGCAGTGCCTTGCAGTGGCTCTGCCAGGCACAGAGAAAGGCAGGGCGAGACGGAGATGGGGGGAGAGGAGCAGGTTAGGCGCTGCAGTGCCTTGCAGTGGCTCTGCCAGGCACAGAGAAAGGCAGGGGCGAGACGGAGATGGGGGGAGAGGAGCAGGTTAGGCGCTGCAGTGCCTTGCAGTGGCTCTGTCAGGCACAGAGAAAGGCAGGGGCGAGACGGAGATGGGGGAAGAGGAGCAGGTTAGGCGCTGCAGTGCCTTGCAGTGGCTCTGCCAGGCACAGAGAAAGGCAGGGGCGAGACGGAGATGGGGGGAGAGGAGCAGGTTAGGCGCTGCAGTGCCTTGCAGTGGCTCTGCCAGGCACAGAGAAAGGCAGGGGCGAGACGGAGATGGGGGGAGAGGAGCAGGTTAGGCGCTGCAGTGCCTTGCAGTGGCTCTGCCAGGCACAGAGAAAGGCAGGGGCGAGACGGAGATGGGGGGAGAGGAGCAGGTTAGGCGCTGCAGTGCCTTGAAGTGGCTCTGCCAGGCACAGAGAAAGGCAGGGGCGAGACGGAGATGGGGGGAGAGGAGCAGGTTAGGCGCTGCAGTGCCTTGCAGTGGCTCTGCCAGGCACAGAGAAAGGCAGGGGCGAGACGGAGATGGGGGGAGAGGAGCAGGTTAGGCGCTGCAGTGCCTTGCAGTGGCTCTGCCAGGCACAGAGAAAGGCAGGGGCGAGACGGAGATGGGGGGAGAGGAGCAGGTTAGGCGCTGCAGTGCCTTGCAGTGGCTCTGTCAGGCACAGAGAAAGGCAGGGCGAGACGGAGATGGGGGGAGAGGAGCAGGTTAGGCGCTGCATCAGCCTTGCAGTGGCTCTGCCAGGCACAGAGAAAGGCAGGGGCGAGACGGAGATGGGGGGAGAGGAGCAGGTTAGGCGCTGCAGTGCCTTGCAGTGGCTCTGCCAGGCACAGAGAAAGGCAGGGGCGAGACGGAGATGGGGGGAGAGGAGCAGGTTAGGCGCTGCAGTGCCTTGCAGTGGCTCTGCCAGGCACAGAGAAAGGCAGGGGCGAGACGGAGATGGGGGGAGAGGAGCAGGTTAGGCGCTGCAGTGCCTTGCAGTGGCTCTTCCAGGCACAGAGAAAGGCAGGGGCGAGACGGAGATGGAGGGAGAGGAGCAGGTTAGGCGCTGCAGTGCCTTGCAGTGGCTCTGCCAGGCACAGAGAAAGGCAGGGGCGAGACGGAGATGGAGGGAGAGGAGCAGGTTAGGCGCTGCAGTGCCTTGCAGTGGCTCTGCCAGGCACAGAGAAAGGCAGGGGCGAGAAGGAGATGGGGGGAGAGGAGCAGGTTAGGCGCTGCAGTGCCTTGCAGTGGCTCTGCCAGGCACAGAGAAAGGCAGGGGCGAGACGGAGATGGGGGGAGAGGAGCAGGTTAGGCGCTGCAGTGCCTTGCAGTGGCTCTGCCAGGCACAGAGAAAGGCAGGGGCGAGACGGAGATGGGGGGAGAGGAGCAGGTTAGGCGATGCTTTGTTTCAACTAGGGGATCATATACATGGCTGCTTACTCACCGTCCCCGTAGCTGTTCAACAGCTCAGCGTCGTCAAAGAACTCCTTGGGGTCCTCGACACTCTCCTGGTCGTTTCTCCTCTTGACGCCCAGTGCTGGTAGCACCTTCTTGCGAAGCCTTTTGGCGATGAGGCACCGAGTGTTCGTGTAAGTGACGGCGACCGTTCTCAGGGTTTGCTTGCATCGGTAAGTCCACAAAAGCTCAAGGTGTGGAGCAGCTGCAGGTGACATCATTTTTTTAAATCCAAGCAGGGTTTCGGTGTCGTTGGGGTAAAGTTGGATGTCGTTTGCGCGGTTTGTCCAAAAGAAGCACGTCGCCAGCTTGCTGCAAAATTTCTGCCATGGAAACAGGGTGATGCGTGTGTATGTGCAAGGTTATGAGGAGGTTTGTAATCCCAACGTCCACCACATAAAAAAAAAAAGAGCCAGTAGAGTGATGCCTACACTTGGTTCCTCAAAACAGAAGAATTTCGCAAGACTCACCTGCCAGCCCTCGCTTTCCGCATTGATGAAGTCGCGGGCAATTTCCTCCGGTGTCTTTACACGCACCGGCTCCACCACCTCCTTTGAACCACCATTCTGAGTTTCGCCATCCACCCTGTTAGGACCATGCTGGTCACATCCACCACACTGCCTGCAAAGCCGCCCTGCAAGCAGCTCATCCCGCAGTGCTTGCAGATCAGCCATTGTTGCATATGTATTCTGTGCAACTTTTTCAGCTACAGACGCGACAGCACGCGGCCTGGGCTGCACGGCACCAATTCCAGGCCTGGGCACAGCAACCGGCCTCTGTAAACCAGTTGATGCTGCTGCATTGGGTCCGCGAGAACCAGATGATCGGCCCGCCGATGGTGCGCGACCCTGACTGCCATTTGATGGCAGAGGTGCTGCAACCCGGGCCACACCATTCATACCACCCCCGCTGGCATTGGGTTGGGATCTGCCACCCATGTTGGACCCTCCAGGGTGTGCCCCTGCACGACCACCACCAGCTGATGCGGTGGGACCCCATCCTCTCTGCGTATGATTGGGCTGCCCAGTGCTGTCCCCTGCACTGTTAACCCTTGGGCTGCCCCGTCCACGCCCGACTAAGACCGGGGAGTTGGGTGAGACTACGGGGGCCAGACCTGGGATCATACGGCTTCCATGTCCTGCCGAAGTAGATGGTGCAGGTTGCCCTGCTCCGCCTAATCCCAGTCTGTATGACGCGACACCGCCTCGGCTTGCAGCACCTGCACTGAGCATGTGAGCTCGTGGTAAGCCTGACATCGTTGCCCTACCTCCCCCGCCGTTGCTCATTCCAGGACGTGCAGGTGCAGGGGCTGAAGTGGCCGGGTGGGCATTGCCTAAGTCTTGAGACGCGTAGGCACTGCCGACTCGCCCTCCTGACAGGGTGATTCGCGGTGGACCAGCAGCAGTCCCTGAACGATTGGAGTGTGCCAACCCCATGTTCAGTGGGGCTGCTGCAGCTACTGGCCGAGGTCCTCCCGTTCCCAGCACCGGCTGATGTGCTGGGACCATTGCCGGAGCACGTGGGATGTGATGTTGCTGAAAAATACCCAGAACCTGCTGTCCAGGTGCAGACGGCCCCAGTTGAACATGGCATATTTCCATGGGAGGGCCAACGCCTGTATTCGCGATGTTAACTGCCACGAACGTATGCAACACGGGAAACGGGTCATTTTGCTACACGCGCAGGGAGAAAGGGGATGGGGCGAACGGAGAATGTGAGAGCTCGTGTGGGGCTCTGCCAGGCAGAGAGTGAGGCAGGGGTCGCGGCGGAGATGGGAGGAGAGGAGCAGGTTAGGCGCTGCCGTGCCCTGCAGTGGCTCTCTTACCATAACAAGCAGCATGGGGATGGCTGCTCAGGCCAACCTTAACCTACCTGCTGCTCCCCTTCCTCTCCCCCGTCCCGTGCCAGCAGCTCGGCCTCTGCCACGACCGGCTCCTTGTCCGCCACCCCGATTTCCGCCTCGCCCTCCCCCTCTCCCTTCGACGCGTCCTCCACCCGTCCCATCGCCACGACCTCCCCGACCTCCCGCCCTCCCTCCTCCTCTCTCTCCGCCTCTCCCTCGGCCTCTCCCTCTCCCTCGTCCTCCTCCCCTCCTTTCGCCTATCCCTTCGCCTATCCCTTCGCCTATCCCTTCGCCTATCCCATCGCCCAAGCCTTCGCCCCATCCGCCCCGACCACCGTCACGTCCTTTCACGCGCTCACCTCCGCGCTCATCTCCGTGGCCCCCACCTCGCCCTCTGCCTCGCCCCACTCCACGCGCTTGCCGGGGTTGCTCTGGTATTTCGTCTTCACGGCCACGTTTCCTCGCAGCACGTTTGGCGTTCTGCAGCATGCTTCCACGTCCCGCGGCAGCAGGAGCATTCAGCGTCGCAATTGCTCTCCCCTTACCGCGCTCCAACGCTCTCTGCGCCTCAACATCCTCATCTTTACATTGTCGACGCCTGGCTCTGTTGTGTGGCCATTGCTTGCGCTCCAGGGTACATGATCTGCTCAATGTCGTCATCATCTTCAGCTCCTTGACTGTGCGGCTGGGTAGGTACGCCACCTTCTCCGCCGTCGCCTGCAGCGCCGTACTCTTTATCGCATTGGTCTTCCTGTCTCCCACCTACCGCCTCTGCCGCGTATCCCTCGCGCCCCTCTTCACCAAATCGTTCACCATCACCTGCAGTGTATTCCCCCCCTGCCGCGTACCCCTCTCCTCCCTCGCCCGCATATCCTTCCCCCTCCTCTCCCGCAACTACATCCCCTCCCTCGCCGGCATATCCTTCCCCCTCCTCTCCCGCAACTCCGTCCCCCCCCTCCCCCGCATATCCTTCCCCCTCCTCTCCCGCAACTTCCCCCCCCCCCTCGTCCGCATATCCTTCCCCCTCCCCGCACGCAACTCCATCCCTATCCTCGCCCGCATATCCTTCCCCCTCCTCTCCCGCAACTCCATCCCCCCCCTCTCCCGCATATCCTTCCCCCTCCTCTCCCGCAACTCCATCCCCCCCCCCCCGGCATATCCTTCCCCCTCCTCTCCCGCAACTCCATCCCCCCCCTCTCCCGCATATCCTTCCCCTCCCTCTCCCCCGTATCCTCCCCCCCCCTCTCCCGCGTAGCCTTCCCCCAATTCCGCCTGATTCAGCACCCCGTCCCCTGCGTACTCATTTCCATCTTCCCCAGCGTATCCTTCATCCGCATCCGCAAATGCCGCCACCCCGTCCTCCGCAAACCCATCTTCCCCTTCTGGGGCATTCCCCATACCCGCTCCCATCGCGTATCCGTCTCCCGCTCCTCCCTCTTGCCAGTTTTCCTCCTCATCTGCAAACCCCTCCCCTCCTTCCATTTCTTGTCCGAACTCCTCCCCTTCCTGATTAATGTACCCTCCACCTCGCCCCTCTTCGCCTCCTCCCCCCGCATACGCGGCGCCTTCCACATCGTACCCTTGCCCTCTCTCTGCGTACGCTTCCTCCCCCTCGTCCTCGTAGTCGCCACCATCTCCCATTGCGACGGACGCCTCGTAGGCAATACACGAGCCGGTTGGTTGATTTTTTTAACCCTGAGCTTCGACGCCCATGACTGAAAATACCTCACGGGAAATCTTAGCTCACGGTAAAACAGTGGTGAAGGCGACGTCGGCTGACTGCAGGTGCAGAGCAATGTAGGCAGATTGGCAAGGGAGGTAAGGGATCGGTACCAGCAAGCTAGCTTGCTGCAGGAGAGAGGGACGACCTAGCTGCTCAGCTAGGGTCGTTCGAGCTTCGTTGCTGGGGTCTTCCAACGTCTTGGCTGTACAGTGATGTCATTTGGGGTCTCCAACCAGCTCGCTCAAGCTGATGTCGTGATGTCAACAGTAGCGATGCCAGCAAGCCAAACACGACCACTTGCGTTGAGGTGTGAACTACATTTTCAGACAGAAACGTAATCGTCGGACTCGCACCGACACCCAATAATATTTTCCCGCTGGGACACGACTAGTCAGTCTCCCACTGACACCCAATGTTCCTACATTTACGAACTAAGCACTTAAATACAGTGTGCGGGCAGTGCAAGCTTGACATAGGAGAGGGGAAAGGTTGCAAATCGTCGATTGAACAGTTTTCTGCTGGCCGCAGAAGCTTCGAGCAGGAAGCCAGGCTGCTCACAATCGCGACATTGGATGCAACCTGTTCAGTGTTTAGCCAAGTCTGATGTCCCTAGTAGCGTGCAATTGACGGTGGCGTGAGCGGTGATGCTTGAACTGTTGCGGGCAATTGGCGTTTTACGTCAACTGTTCACAATATGCAATGGACAGAATCTCGCCCAACAATGCTGCCAGGTGAGCCAAGTATGGCGTGGCAGCATCGCGCTGGGAATCTCCCCATACCACCGGCTGGCATGAGCTCCGCACAAAGCACAGAGTTGTTTCACAAAGCCGTTGAGCTCATGCTACAACCCATCCTTGAGGGCTTGAAAAGGTGATTTTTGCAGATCGAACCCCGATTGCATCTCTTCGTTTACACGTAACCAATTACCGTTGTCCTTCAATGCACATTATGCCCACAATGTCGTTGTCCTCGTATGGAAATTACACACTGCCATCTCAGCGGCAATCACCAAGTATGAAACAAGCCCGTGCACTCATTCTCCTAGCCGCATTTGGTCCCGTTCAATGCAGTGGCTTCATGATGAAGGACCCAAATGGCGTCGAGCACCATGTGATACCCCTGCTGTACGCGTGGGTGTGCGATTTTCCCGAGAGCTGCAAAATTACATGCACGCTATCTGGTGCTACCAATCGGCCGTGCAGCATATGCTATGCTCACAAGGTATGTGACATGTCGTTGAGGTGATTTGCCATCAGTCAAACTAGGATCCAATGACATCGAAACCGCTTATCTCCGGAGATGGCGTTGTTTTGTGCTCGATCGTGCTACCTCTCGTTCGTGCAGGATCACTTGTGTGCTGTGTCAGCCCCAAACGTCTCACGCACTCCAGTGCAACAGAGATGGATCAAGGAAAACTGGTACAAGGTGGTTCAAGTGCAGCCGCGGAAAACAATTGGGATGGAATATTCGACGTTCGACGTGGATGTAAGTGCGATGAAAGACATGGTATGAACGCTCCCACCTATTTGCCATACCACTGATAAGCCCTGCTCTCTACCATCTCAGTTGCTCACCACCCTCTCTGCCATCTCATATGCTCACCACCCTCTCTGCCATCATTAACATCTCTGCCCTCCCATGCCATCATCAACATCTCTGCCCTCCCATGCCATCATCAACATCTCTGCCCTCCCATGCCATCATCAACATCTCTGCCCTCCCATGCCATCATCAACTCTCTCTCTCTCTCTCTCTCTCTCTCTCTCTCTCTCTCTCTCTCTCTCTCTCTCTCTCTCTCTCTCTCTCTCTCTCTCTCTCTCTCTCTCTCTCTCGCCATGTTATGCCCTCCCAACAATTCTTACCATGCGACTCTTTCACGTACTTATACTTATGTCTATGTGTGGTGTTGTGGCAGACACATACAACATTGGCAGTGCCAGCATCCAATGCATCAAACGCCTCAAGAGTTGCTCATTTTGTGAGAGCAACTCCCGAGTGCCACAAGAGGCCCTGGTTTTCAGACATCGCTGTTTGCTGTGAGGGGGGGACTGTGGCCTACGCAAAGCTGCTGTTGTTGTTTCATTGTTTCCTAGATGGGCAGCGCCATGAACTTGCATACGTGGATTACTACAGGAAATTGGGCAATGACCCAAGGACTGGATGTGTGCGCTTGGGTCTGTACACCCCCCGCGCATTCACCGTTATCCCTATCGATTCTATTCTAGGCCATGTTCATGTAGTGAAGTCCTTTGATGGGGATGATGGTGATGTATACTACATGAACAAATATATAATGTAGCTATGTATACTATTGACAAGAATGATGTTGCTTCTTTTGACCCTTCGCAAAAACATGGCACGTTAAAAAAAAAAAAAAAACCTTTATATTTGCAACGATATGGAACCATAGGTCCACCTTAAATACGGTTGTACAACCTAAAAAGCATGTAAATAGCTTGCTGCATTAATTTCTTGGAAGATAACCTATTGAATAGAAACAGCTTCTAAAAATAAAAATCATAAGAATAGAAATAACTGTTTTCATCAGGTGTGATGCGTGACTGTACGCATTCTAAATATATCACTTGTTCTATCCCCCTGCCCTCCCTGTTTTTCCGATCGAAATCCGCTGGAAATCAGGACAGCCCGTGCATTCTTACGCGCGACTCGGTTTTGCCTCTCAACCTCGCGCAAAACAAAACCTCGCGAGTGGATTTCCGTCGGAAAAGCGATATGCTTGAGGCGATATGCATCAGTCGGAAAACCGAGCCTGGCAAATTACCTTGGATTCAACCTCGGACCCTCCAACCCTGACTCGGGTTTTTTGTGATGACTGTAAGCGCACCTCGTCGCGACCCATAAATAGCACCCCATTAGTCATTGAAAATACCAAGTCATTCAGTTCGTTTACTCCTCCATAGAGTAGCAGCGTCAGAACAAACTTCATCACCTCCTCTCTCTCAAATCTCGGTTCACCAGCACCGGAATCAGTCTGCGATGGAGCTCCAGCGCTTCGCCGGCTTGGCGATCTGTCTCTTAGTCGCCACCGCGAGCTTCTGTGAGTTCGCATTCTACGCGCTCTATCTTATACACATCCCATAGCCAGCCGCAAATCTTCCATCCGTTGCAAATGATTCTGCTTCAAATTCTAATTCTCCACGTGGTTCCCGTCTGCTGCGCAGCGACCACGACGGCGCAAGCCCCGACGGACAGCCCGTGCACGCTGCCCAAGCCCGACCAGGCTGAAGCTCTCGGGACTCTGACTGGTGAGAGCTCATCTGACACTCTCGAAATTCCCGTAACCGAGGCTGGTCGCCAAGTCGCGCAGGTAGCATCTCCTTCATACCATCGCAAGCCGTTGCAAGCGCTCTTCATACCATCGCTGCCGCTAGGCTCATATATGAAGAAACCCACCCTCTCCTCCAATCTCCGCCTCCCTCCTCTTCCTCGCTCCGTTGCTCCCCTCCCATTCTCTCCGCACAGAGATTCTTTCCGCGCCGCTGAGCGGAACCTTAGGCGCGTGGACGGGCCAAGTCGGCGCCAGCGGGTAAGTCTGCCTCGCCGTCTACGAGTAAGTCTCCACGCACTCTCCCTGAACGTTAGCTTATTTCCTTTTTCAGCTTCCCTCCTTAAATTATGCGACCCTCATTCCACCTTTTCTATTCGCCCGTGCGAACCCTGACTGAATCCGTCAGGTCGAACGGAGACTACAACATTTTCTACAGCGTTCTCGCCTCCAGCCCCACCGCGGGCGAACCGACCTTCGCCGGCATTGCGAAAGACGTGGGGCAGGAGAGAATCGTCGCCGTCTTCTTTTCCCCCCCAGGGACCGATGGCCCGCGGGAGGATCTCACTAGTTCCGCGCTTCCCACGCTCCAGAGCAGGAAGACCCTGGGAGACACACCCGCTTCCCTAACAACGTACACCTATGCCCTTAGCGGAACGTGGCTTAAAGCGAGTACGCTGACCACGTTCCAAGGGGACACTTACAAGCAGCTGGTGGATTCGATTGTAGCGGGGCCGGAAGGGTACTGCACTGGGTTCGGGACGACTGCTGTCATGGGGGGAGCAGCCATGGGGATGTTTCAGGTTCAGCCCGTTGCCACCAAAGCCTAAAAGGCAAACAAGGTAGTGGTGACTCTAGCACGGGTGGATTAGATGATGATGTGTATGGAGGAAATGTATGAAAAGTGTGAAATATGTACGAATACCTGTTGTGACTAAATAAAGCTTTTGATTTTTGAGTGACTCTCAGGGCGTCTTCGTAACCTCGTATCAATCTGACCTCATATCAGGCTCACAATAAAAAATGCTCTAAACCCCGAACCTCTCGCTACTTACCAGGCCAAAAGTACGATCTTGATAGGAGGCCGTAGGAATACGCCCTTACAGGGTAGGCTTGTCCTCCCGTCTCCCTGACTCTCTTTTCCTTGGGCTGCATGCATTAGTTGCGGTAAGCCCCGTCAAGCCATACTGGTTGGTGGAGCGTTCACTGCAGACCACTCCATTGCATGCCAGCCAACAAACATGCTAGCAGCCCGGAGGTGGAAGTGGTGGGCATTACAGGAAAATTGTATGGTTTAGAACCCAATAGCCCAGACAGGGAAAGAGACCTAGACCAAGCACTCATGCATATGGTTCTTTGATACCTGCCTAAAATGGCTTGAAGGCCGTAAGACCAGAGAGAATTAAGGGTGCAACCAGCTGAACCTTCTCTTTCACCCAAGCATGTGTGACATGTGTGTTTAGACAGACTTATCTCAGGGCATATTAGGGGCAAGGAGGCTTTGACTCTCTTTCAGAGCCAGGATGCTAATCCCCTTTCCACAGGCTGCGTATCAGGTCAGTCCATGATTGCCTATTTGATCTTTGTTTCAAAACACTCCATGCGTGCTGAATCCGCCTTCCCACACATTAC